GATCCATGGTGGTCCAGCCAAGTTCATTAATGCCAGACTCATCTCCTCTCCCTGGCCACAGTTTGGGGAGCTGGAGGAGTTTGGGCGGGGCCAGGGGTCAGTGATTATTTTTTTTCTAGCAGGGTTCGAACAGTAAACACTATGGACCGTGAAACTCACATGCTTTCTGCCCTGCCTAGCACTGCTCAGTACTCCCATAGAGTTCACATGAGCAGACCTAGCTGTTTGCTAATAATGCTTTATTTACAAAAAAGAACATGAGCCTGATTTACCAGTTTCCTGTTCTTCTGGGTCTTGCTGAGCAGAGTCTGGCTCCTCCTCTGGGGTTGGGCTGAGCAGAAGGGAGCTTTTCCAGACTTAGCATGGGAAGTCCTGATCCAGGAAGGCTGGGTTCTGAGTAGAACAAAGGGTTACCCTCCCCAGACAGTTCTGCTCTGTGCCATCTGGCTGTCTGCTGTATAAAGGGGAGGGAGGACTGTCATTTATTGTGGTGTGAACTGTGCTGGGTGCTCGCAGAGGGCTTAGTGAACATGTCCTCCATCACAAAACATAAACAGTGTTGGGAGACCAGGGCTCCTTCTGGAAGGGGTGGAGACTGGACATCCCTGCCTCAGGTATCTCAGGTTCCTCCAGAGCCCAGACCCTTCTACCTCTCCAGACCATGAGCTCCTTGAGGACATCACTGTGACAACTGTGACCAACACAGAACACGTCACCCAGGGGAGCCCAGCAAACACTGGGATCAGCAAATACTGACACCAAATAGGTGGATAAATATGTGTGTGTGATTGATTGCTGGGTAGATGGTGAGTGCATATGTCAGTGGATGGACGGATAGGTAAACAGACGGACAGATGGATGGATGGATGGATGGATGGGTTGTAGGAGGGTTGGGGGATAGGGAGATGGGCTGACTGATGAATGATAGGGAAATTTCCCCCACATTTATACAAACATTGGCTTGTTCTGTGCCTTGACCTGTTCCCATCAATACATCTTCAGGCGAGCTAATCAGAAAAGGTCTCATGAGCTCTGACTTGTATTATGCCAGACTTGCCTTCTGGCACTGGGGAGGCAATATGATATCATATTTAAAATGTACCATCTGACATCAGGTGGCCTCTGTGAATTCCCAGGAAGGCCTTTTTCTGAGCTGTGTGACCCAGATAAGTCCACACACCTCTCTGAGCTTCACAAAAGATTTTAAGAGAAACAGTTTCATAGGGCTCCCACGAGTGACAGGTGACATTTGTGTCAAGTATGTGGTGTGTGCTGAGAAAATGCTAGTGTCATTGTGTTGGACTGAGCGGAGAGCAGGTGGGGCTGGGATGGCCACCACGAGCAGGACACTGGGTGGTTCTACACAGAACACCAGGGTCAGACAGGGTCAGGAAGGCAAACATACTTAGTGGCCACCGTTGTCACTCAGCTAGACCACAGTGATGGCGCATATCAAACAAGCCCCCGTGGCTTCTCCAGCTCACCTGTTTGTGACCAGACTGAACTCTGCTCCTCCCTGAGGCAGCACCAGGTTTGGGAGGCAGCAGTCACGCAAGACAAGCCCTGTCAGCCAGGTTCTCACACACACACACACACACACACACACACGCCACACGCATTGGCATTTCTGCCTCTTCTAATGCGCAGTGACAGACATGGGGTTGAACCCAACCATGGGGTCAAGAGTGCAAACACTGTCTGCCCCTTGAGTGAGACAAGCAGCAAACGAGGTCTCAGGGCAAGGCTGTTAATGCAGAGGGGGCTGGAGACACACATTCACATGTATGTCTGTGTACACACGTCTATCCCACGGCCCTGCACAGCCAGGCTGGGGAAGGGCCTGTGCCCTCCTAGTTGGCATCTCACTTTCACCCCACTCCATGCCAAGAGGATCCTGAGCAGATGTTCTTTCAGTCTCCGGGACCAAAGATCCAGCTCATGTTTCACCCCAGTTCCCACCTTCCAAACATCTGGACCTGCTCGGGGGAGCCATTAATCTCCAGCAATTTCTTTCCTCACTTGATTTGTTTATTTAAGGGAAACAAGTTGCTCCTAATTAGAAGCGCTGTGGAGATGCTCGGCACATCGGGGCTGCCTGCTTTCAGATGTTCTGCCTGGATGCATACCTGTGCTCTCAGCATCTGGGGGTGTGCAGCACCTCTGTGGGGACTTCTGGCGAGAGAGACTCAGGCGTGCAGGTGATGAGGGAGGCTGGGAAGGCACCATGCTCCGGGGCGCCTGCGACACACATGTCCACATCTCCACAGCCACCCAGTCACACACAAGGCACATACAGAAGCCACACAGTCTCTCACAGGCAAAGACTACAATGACATACAAGATGTTGCAACCTGATACTCTGGGTACATTCAGCGCAGGAGATGAATGTAGAAGTTAGGCACTTCAGAGAACACAGGCACATTCAAGTGGACACTGTAGATGCACACACGCACACACATGATACAACTAAGGATGCAATGTTCCACACATTCATGTGTATGTCTGTGTACACACATGTGCATGGTTATAAGGAGGCACACACTGATACAAACGCACATATGTGCAGGGACATGATACTCACACGCTTCAAAATTCATATGCAGAAGCTTGCGGAGATGTAAATGCAGAGATGCCCACAACCCAGAGAGGGTCGAGCCAGTGTGTCAGGCTGTGCTTCTAAACATGTACAGACAGGCCTGAGAGCCACATGTGTGTCTCCAAGTGCACAGTACACTCACCTTCCGTTCCTCATGCACACCTACAGGTAGTTGTTCTCTCAGAGGCACGCACACACAGCATGCACATCCCTAAACCCATGGGCACACATGTTCATTAGGTGTCAAGTTCACCCTGGCTGTTCAGACACGTGCACGCACACGTGCTTGGTGCACTCATGACTAAATAGGCACGCAACTGCAGCGACTACACATGTGTTCCTTCACCCACATGCCCCCCCCCCCCGTCCACCAGGAGGGCAAACTATTCATTTCCCAGCGTCCTGAAATTCTACCGCACCAACTCTACCAGCGCTCGGTGGATCTATCCCCAAGCTGCACCCCCTACGTCCATCCATGCAGGACACGTTCTGCTCTTCCACCCACAGCGTCAGCAAGAACCCAGAGCCGACCCTGGGAGGCTTCGCAGCCAGTCAGACTGCCCCTCTCCCGGCAGTCTCTGGCTTTGCCCCACCCCCACCGGAGATCCAGCAGGCACGCTTCTCCCAGCGTTGGTTGTTCCTGCCGGGAACAGCAGCTTGCCATGCCCAGCCCCGAGGCAGACTGGATGCCTGACCGGGAACAGACAGAACGTCCCTGCCCTGGGTCCCTAGACAGCTGCAAAGTTGAAGCCATGGAGACAGCTTACCTCCATCTCCCGTTGTCATGACGACGCAGCAGCTGGGTGCATCCAGCCCTCCCAGACTGCCCTGGGCTCCCCACTGGGAGCAGCTGGTCCAGCAGCGGTTTTAAAAGGAAGCAAGAAGGGGCGAAGGGGCAGGGACTGCAGGTATCCTGCGATTGGAGACTCAGGATACTCTGAGTTCTAGGAAAGCCTCCGTGGGGGAACGGTTCCCAGGATCCGTGCACAAGACCTCCAAACAGGAATCCCCATTGCTTCCTTACTCAGTCAGATTGAGACGAGTGCTCCCGGCATCATCCCAGTCAGTGCTCCTGGCACCTTCTGAAGTAGGAACTATAAACTCTTACTTTTCAGTGGAGCAGGGGCCAGGGGCCACCCAGATCTACTTTGAGACCTGGGTTCCTAAACACTAACTTGCACTGCCCGCCCCCCACATGTGTACACGCTCGCGCACATACATATGCCCCCAAATTTTGAAAATCCCACCTGTCACATTGCTCAGGGTCACAAAGTGGCCTGAATGGGGATCTCTGAGGATACATGGTCTTCATTCTTAAGAGAAACAGCAGTTGAGCTCAGAAAGGCCTAGTGGTTTGCCCTAAGTCACACAGCAAGTCAAAGACAGGTTTGAAGCTACCTCCGAAATCAGAGCAGGGTTTTCCTCAAGATCTCTGGCACAGACTCCCGTTGGAGTGCCTGCCCTTGGGCAGCCTGGGAAGTCGGCTTCAGAATCCGAAGCTAAGGCAGGACGTCCTTAAAACCTCAAGTAACGGTTCAAGAACCCCCAGCAATGGGGCTCTCCAAAGGCCAACACCCAGCTCCAGCAGGAGGTTCATCCACCGCCAAGGGATCATTTCCAAACACAGCTCATGGCCAGAAGAGTGCCCAGATCAACCAGTATGCCAGTGACTCCAGCCCCAGGCAGGAATGGAGGACAGTGGTGTCCTCCATCAGAGTGTGGACTCAGGGCTGGCCTCTTGGAAGTGTGCGTTCTCTAGGGAGAAAGGTGTGTGGCTACACTCAGAGCGGTGCTCTGGTTTGGGACAGCTTCAAGGACCTGAAGTGGCCAGCCGCCAGCTGGGCAGGAGGTTACCAGCCACCCGGCCACGGGTCCCCTCTCATTAAGGAGTGTTGGCAGCTCCCTCTGTTAGATTTCTTTTATTCTTTCTTCCTCTCCCTAAAGGAGCAGCCCCTCCAGAGCTCCAAGGAGTGGGGTGTGCCCCTTGGGAGCCTCAGAGGGAGTCAAGGGGCTCCTGGAAGGGCATTTGGGCCTGGTGGGTTTTGGATAGGGTAAGTGGCTGTCTCCCTCTACACACCCCTCAGGACCCACAGAAGCCAGTCTGCAAAGTGGGCTTCGCGTAGCCCTCGCTGCGGGGGCCCTGGCTTCCGCTTGGTTCCCAGTGCGGGCGCCACCCCAAGGCCGGCTCATAGGTACCGCTAGCCCCTTCTCCCCAGGCTGGGAACTGGCCCGGCAGCGGGGTGCGCGAGTCTAATCTAAGGCCCCCCGCTGCTCCAGTAGCCTCACGACCCCAGGGATGTCCCCAAGCGCGTCCGCAGCCAGAGGAAAGTTTGTCATCTCCCCAGAGCCTCCTGTCACCTCTCCGTAGCGCGGGGTTCGCTGGGGACCCGTGGCTGCTGCTTACCTGGGGATGCGCCGAGGTCTCCGCGCCCAGAGGGGCGCAGCGCGGGGTACGGAGCTCAGATCGCGAAAAGCCGGGGCTGGGGCTGTGTGAGGCTGAGCCCGGGCAGGAGGCTGGGGCTGCGCGGGCGCCCGCACTCCCGGCCCTGCTGGAGCAGTCTGCAGCCCGAGCTCCCGCGCCCGCCGCCTCCCCGCAGCCCGGCCCGGCTGCCCGCGCTTAACTCCTTGCGTCCCGGCCACCCGCCGCGCCCGCCGCAGGCCTGGGCTCCAAGCTGAGCATTGCGCTGAGCCCTGCTCCTGGGCTGCAGACGAATGCACGGAGGCGGCAAAGGGCTGGGCCTGGCGGGAGCGTGTTACGCGCTGGCCGCCGCTGTTCAGTGCCTTGGCCCCGTGCCCGCCCGGCAGGCAGCTAAAAGAAATCCAACAATGGGCAGTTTTGTTGATGGGTGTTCAGTGCGTTGTTTTAACGGGCCCTGAGTTTCAGCTGTGTGGCCTCTGGGCTATCGTATTCCCTCTCTGAGCTTGTGTGACCCTGGACCAATGGCCCAGCTCCTGAATGACTCCTGCTGAGACCCCTGAGGGACCTCATCAGACAAGAGTGGAACATAGGGACTTCTGGGATGCCATCAGCTCAGTTTGCAGATCTAGTGTGGCTTCAGGTTAGGTCCAAACATGACTAGAAAAATCTAGGTGTAAATATTTTTATTTTATTCATTAATTTATTTTGGATTTCGAGACAGGGTTTCCCTATGAAGCCCTGGCTGTCCTGTAACTCTTGATGTAGAGCAGGCTAGCCTTGAACTCAGAGATCCACCTGTCTCTTCTTCCTGAGTGCAGGGATTAAAGGTATGAGCACTACACCTGGCTTAGGTGTAATATATTATTGTGTGTATTGCCTGCGTGTGCACATGCACGTGAACTTGTGTGATGGTGTCTGTATGAGGTCAGAGAACCACCTGGGGTGTTGGTCCTCAGCTTCTACTCACCCTCCTGGGATTCTCCCATCTTCCATCTCATATCTTAGCTGGACCACTGGGTTACAGATGTAAGCTATTGCTTCCGGGGATTTGAACTCAGACCCTCACACTTACACAGCAAATGCATTACCTGCTTAGCCATCTCCCCAGCCCAAGACCTTGTCTTCTGTTTTTGAATGCCAGTTGTGGAGCTAAACTAGAGCCTCCTCAGAGGAAAGGGATGCCAGGCGTGACTGGGAGAGCGAGTTTGAGCCTCGTGGAGAGCTTCAAGTGAAAAGTGAGATGCCAACTTACCAAGGCAAGTGTGAAATATCACAGCCTCCCCCCTCGTCATTGCCTGGAATACAAGTGTCTTGGGCATTTTTCATTTGTCATTTGCTAATACTTACTGTCTAGTTGCTGGGACAAAACACCCAGTGAAGGAATCTGAAGGGCAAGTGTCTATTTGAGTGTGTGAGCAGAGGGCACCGTGAGTCCGCGTCAGGGAACAGAGGCCAATGCAGGTATTCGGCAATCTTTCTTTTTACTTCTGTCTGGAGTCTAGCCCATGGAATGGGACCAATTACATTCAGGGTAGGTTTGCCCAGTGAGCTGGCCAGTTTTAAGTCAACTTGACACAAGCTAGAGTCTTCAGAGAGGAGGCAGCCTTAATTGAGAAAAATGTCTCTATAAGATCAGGCCATAAGCAAGCCTATAGGGCGTTTTCTTAATTCGTGATTGATGGTTGAGGGCCCAGCCTATCCCTGGGTTCTTGGATCTTTAAGAAAGTGGACTGAGCAAGTCATGGGGAACAAGCTAGTAAACAACACTCCTCCGTGGCCTCTGCATCAGCTTCTGCCTCCAGGTTCCTTCCCTGTATCGGTTCTTTCAGTGATGGACAGTGATGTGGAAGTGGAAGCCCCTTCCTCCCCAAGTTGCTCTTGGTAATGGTGTCTCATCACAGCAGTAGTAACCCTGACTAGGATACTCAGTTAAAACACTCTGAAAGAACCCTCATGGGCACAGCCAGAAGCTGCGTGAGGGTGATGGGTCTTCCAGCACCATTCTTGCTCTTTCTGGATTTGTGTCTTGGGGCAGTCAGGACTCCCACAAGAGTGGCTTAGCCCCACTGCTAGTCTTCACATGTAAGAAGTGATTGGCTATGCAGAATGAGCAGCGGCTGTATCTGTGGAGTTTAAAGACCACAGACCCAGGAAGGAGGGGAGTCCAGTTTTCTGGACTCCATTGCTGAGGGCACGCTGTGCCCTAGCCTCGTCCCAAGTGTGATCTGGCCATGTGGCTCCTTCCATAGGCTTCTTCGAGAGTTCAGGGTTTGCTGCTTCGAGCCAGAATAAAGGAATAAAGGAATAAAGACCCAAGCAAGACGGCAGCCTCTGAAATGGATCAGAAAGATCAAATGGTGATGTCAGAGAGTTTCTCATGCAAGATCAGACAACACCCCCGAGCCACGCTCACAGAACAAGTCGCGGCCCATGTGTCACTGTCATTCGAAGCACAGCCTCTAGAAATAGAATTTGCTCTAATTTTGGGTGTAGCCAAGGCAAATGGAAAGAATGTGCGAGAATGGAGAGGGCCATGTCCAGCAGTGAGTAATTCCCTTTGATGGCATTGTAGTGGAAGGAGGGGCCTGTCCTGGTGGCAGAGGCCTGTGGAGTCAGCTACACCCAGGACAGAGCTCAGGTCCTGCCACTCGCCAGCTAGGCAGCCTTGGGGAAGTTAATGACCCTCTCTGGGCTTCCACATTCTACAAATAGTGATAATAATTTCCAGCTCACAAGGACTATGTGCAGATTGAGTGGCATCTCTGTGCAGTTTGCCGCTGACTGTGCACACACGAGGCACACTGTGACCTGCAATCAGAGTGATGTCAATGGCGGCTGACAGCCCTGGCAAGTGAGAGAGAGCACTGCCCTGGAATGCGAGCACATTCAGAGTTCCCATGAGATGTTTCTGTTTTGTCTTGTTTGCAGGCGCAGAGCAAATAGTGTCCACACCACTGTTGTGTATGAGAAAGAGAACGCAGTGCCAGTGTGGTGGGCACCCGTGATCCTCCCAGAGGCTGAGGCACGAGGATTTAGAGTTTGAGTTTGAGGCTAGTCGGGGCAACATAGCAAACTCAAACTGGGGGGTATATCCCAGAACACTGGTTAGGGATGCTTTATTTTTTGTTTATTTAATTTAATGTAAAAATCTTTTTGCATAATGTGTGAGGTGGGCCACAAGCCATGTGTGTCCTCACAGGTTCACAAGGCAGAGGGCAGCCTCAATCAGTTCTAGTCTCCCACCTTGTTTGAGACATGGTCTCTCATTTGCTGCCCTGTACTCCAAGCTAGCTGGTTAGAGACTGTCTGGGAAATTCTGGCTCCTCCTCCCAATAGGAGTGCTGGGGTTATAGCAGGGGTGGCAGAGCTGGGGTTTATACAGGTTCTGGGGATTAGGACGTAGGCTCAGGGGCTCAGTAAGTGTGTTATTCACTAAGCCATCTCTTCAACTCTATCTATCTATCTATCTATCTATCTATCTATCTATCTATCTATTAATTTTTGGTTACCAGATCTTATTATGTAGTCCTGGCTAACCCTAAACTTGTGATCCTCCTGCCTCAACCTTCAAAGTGCTAGGATTCACCACACCTGACCTTGACTTTAGGAGAGTCTGTGTGTCTCAAACACATTTAAACTATCATGAAAGAGACTATGAACCATCCCTCTTTTATTTTGGTTGTAGCTATCTCAGGCTGGCCTAAATATGTAGTTGAGGGGTGACCTTGAAGTATCGGTCCCCGACCCCGACCTGCCTTCACCTCTTGAGCTCTGGAATGATAAGAATGCCCCAGGGTACGCGGAATCAAATCCTGAGCCTTGTCTGTGTAGTGTAGTGCTCGGTTAGCACTGTCTTGACTGAGCCACACCCCACCTCCAGAGCCGGTCCCAGATCTGACAGCAGTATGGAATGGGTGTGGCTTGTCTCCCATTTGCTCAGGTGTTTGAATGCGTGGTTCCTAGCTGGCCTGGACCTGAAGGTGGCCTGGACCTGCAGGTGAAGCACGGGTGAAGGAGATGAGGGTCCTGAGGCCTTACTTCCTGTTTGGTCTCCTTGCTTGCTGGCTCTGGATACAATGTAACCTGCAGCTCCTCCTGCTGACACGCCTTTCCTACTCTGATGGGGGGCATCCCATCCCTCTAACCTGTGAGCTAAAACAACCCCCCCAAGGCATCTTCTCAGGTGTCTAGACAGCAGTGTGAAAAGCAATTAATTAATTAATATGTTTAACACACATGGTTATGTCTTAAAACAGAAACACAGTAGGATCCATTATTATAGCCACACATCACTGCAACACCATACAGCAGCGATCACAAACTGTGGCTGTCAGGAGTAAACAGACGAATGTCACAAATATAATATCCAACAAAAGGAAGCAGACCCACTTTGGTTCCTGGCTTTACCGCCGTTTCTGTATGGAGTTCAGAAGCCTTAGAACTGGGGCAGGGGTCATACTTGCGTAGGACGCTGTTAGATACTGAGGTAAAACAGGGACTTGGTGGCTGTGACCCGGGTCCTGGCTGGTTTTGTAGGTGTGTTCTTTGAGAAAGGCCTGAACCTGTACTCTTCCTCCTGGCTCCATTAAAAACGGTTTATAAGTGTAAAAAATTTGCAAGTTCCAGTATTTTAAACTTTATTGGTTACAGAGGCTTAATCGCCACCCTGGATAGACCAACTAATGGGGAGGTGGGCATGGAAGGCTAAATAAGCCCTCTCTCCCAGCACTGGCCGTAAACTCACATGCTACAGGCTCCTTTCCAGCTACCTGAGAGGGGGATTGTGTTTGGGGCACCAGGGCAGGTGGGGACAAGAGCCAGGACTGGGACATGTGATCTAGAGAGACAGGCTGGCTGCCCAAATTATCTGATTTGGCAGATTCCCGGGATCAAATGACCCAGATAATGGCACTGGCCACTGTGAAACCACACACCATAGCCAGAATATCTGTAAGGGAGACCTTTTGGCTAGGGCCACGCTGTGGGCAAGAACAAGGCCAGGTCCTCTGGGTCTGATTTCAGCAGGAGGATCATGGGAGTCTAAGCACAGAGGGCTTCCTCGGCCCAGAGCTCCACCGCCCCACTCTGCCCCTCATTGCACTGACGCCCTGTGTCCCGACAAGGTGCACAGCCAATTCCCCCGCTCAGAACCATAAACTTGCCTCTTCTAGTTCACTCCCATCACTCCACAGCAATGGGATAGCAAGGAGGGAAACCGAGACCTACAATGCTCAAATGAGTTGTCATCAGGAAGTCGCATCATTTGGTTTTGAACTGGTTCACACAGCTGCGCCCTCAGCCCCCAGAAGGGGCTTTTCTCCTTCCCACCCTCATAGGCTCCACTGTGTCTGCCTGCAGGAGGTGTCTG